TTCATAGGGAGTTTCTAGGTTTCCTTTTGAACTTTCAACGCCGTTCAGTGCAGTCATTGTTCCCCTCTCTGGCATCCATTTGCCCAACATCACCCCAACCCTCGATGCCAACAGAACGTCGGCGTTATCAGACCCCCGTTTGTTGTCTTCATCGGCCCATTTCCCAGTTTTGTTCCCTGTTGTTCTCAAGTGTGAGTTCTGGGGGCCGGCGCTGTGGCACAGTGGGTTAGAGCTCTGGCCTGCAGCACCAGCATCCCATGTGGGTGTTGGTTCAAGTCCCGGCTGCTCCACTTTCAACTCAGCTCCCTGCTAATGAGTCTGGGAAAGCAGCAGAAGGTGGCCTCTCCCCCTCTTTCTCTCTCTCCGCCTCTCCTCTGTGTAACTCTTGCAAATAAATAAATCATTAAAAAATTATTTGAAACTTTATAAAAATGAAATGCTGGAGTGGATGTTTCTGTCTAGTGTTTTTTTTTTTAATTTTTAATAATCATTTTATTTGAGGCGGAGTGACGGGGGGCGCAGAGAGGTCGTCCACCCCACGGCTCACCCTCAGTGACCAGGAGCCGGGCACCCAGGCAGGTCTCCCCGCGGGCGGCCGGAAGCGAGCCAGGCGTTCTCAGCGAGCGCCGGGGCGGGGACTTGCCCGGTGCCCCGGGCGGCCTGCGGCCCTGCTGGCCGAGACCTAACCCGCTGGCCATAACGCTGGCCCTGTGCCCCGAGACGAAGACGCCTCCAAAGGGGTTCGTTTCGGTAAAGGCTGGCTGCAGAGGGCTGCTGTCTACCTAACGCTTCTTGCTTTAGCAGCACAACCTGAGTATCGCTGACGGAGCGAGCCCGTCACAGGGAAACGCGGACCCGCAAGGCCACGCGGGGAGGGTCCTGGGGTCCCCGCGCTCACCCCGTCCTCAAGGAAACCAACCCCGCCCCGGCTCGCAGAAACCACGCTCCTCGGCGCCCAGCACCCAGACCGCTGCCCGCAGGCGAGCGCTGAACCCGCCCCACCGCCCCGGCCCCCGACCCCCGGGGGTCCACAGAGGCCCACGTCCCGCCCCCATCCCTCCGCGGCGACGCCGGAAGTCAACACGGCGGTCCCGCCCCAAGGCCGGAAGTGCGGGGGGCGCGCGTGCGCGGAGCGGCCCGGCTCCGCTCCCAGCATGCGCTGCGGCCCGGGCCGCGGTTTTGTTTGCGAAAGGCGGGTTCGTCAGAGTTGTAAAGCTGTGAGTCTTAGCTGGTGTTTCCTTCTAAGTTGTATTTACCAGTTTTCGTGTTATTTGGCGAGCAGAGAGACAGAGAGAGAGAGATCCTCAGCCTCAGTGGTGGGGCAGGCCAAGGCCGAGCCGCCCGTTGTCCTGGCCGTGGGCGTCTGCGGAGGGGTGGAGTCGGCCAGAGGCAGCCCGTGTTAGAAGGCGTTTCTAGTAAATTAGTCACACATAGTACATGTTAAACAGCGGCAGGTAGACACACGCGTGTACGTGTGTATTCTGGAAGCCGTCAAGTAGACTGAAGTAGATCTTTACAAACGCGTTAAGTTAAAAAGCCCGAGGAAAAGTCTCCTGGTTTTATCTGAGAGGCGGAGAAACGAGAAACGTGGACGGCTTCCCAGGTCTGGCTTCCTTGCGCAAGGGCCGCTCCAGTCTGGATCAGTCCTGTCCAGGGCGGATTCTTGAGTGGAAAGAGAAGCAAAGGGGGCAGGGGAGTCTTGTGCGATCAGCCTCTGCCCTCCCCTCTCAGACGGTCACTGAGCGCCTCTGTGCAAGGCACTGGGAGTGGGGTCACCCGGAAAGACGGGGTCTGCCTGCGGCGCCGAGACGTCTCAGGGAGGCCATAGACAGCGCACTCTTAGACTGTGGAAGCAGCGAGGGGGCTGCTAAAACTGTGAGGGAGTTCCTTGTTTAACATTTATTTTATTTATTTGAAAGAGTTACAGAGACAAATCTTCCATCTGCTGGTTCACTCCCCAGATGGCTGCAACGACCAGGGCTGGAAGCCAGGAACGAAGCCAGGAGTCAGGAGCTTCTTCCAGGTCTCCCTCGTGGGTGCAGGGGCCAAGCGCTTGGGCCGTCCTCCACTGCTTTCCCAGGCCATAGCAGGGAGCTGGATCGGAAGGGGAGCAGCTGGGACTCCAGCCGGTGCCCCTATGGGATGCCGGGGTGCCGACCTCACAGAGCCGGCTTTACCTGCTACACCACAGTGCCCGCCCACGAGGGCGTTTCTTGACCCTTAAGAAACTGAGTAGATTTTTCACAAACAGGAAATCGAGGCAGGAAGTGCACGTTTGTGGTTAGGAACAGAGGGCGCAGACCTGAGCTTGCAATGCAGCAAGCAAGTCTTAGTGGGGGAAGTTCACAGGTTTGGGGGCCTCACTGACCCAGGAAAGAAGTCTAACGTTATGTCAAGCACCAAGTTCAGTTAGCCTTGTCAATCCCCCCACCCTACCCCCCACCTTTAAAAAAAAAAAAAAGATTATTTGAAAGGCAGAATTAGGCAAGGATTGGGGGTGGGGCAGCAGAGATCTCCGTCCTCTGGCTCACACCCCAAGTGTCTGCAGTGGCCGGGGCTGGGCCAGGCCGACGCCAGGAGCCTAGAACTCCTGCATCCGGGTCTCCCGGGTGGGTGCTGGGGCCCAAACACTCAGTCCATCCTCCCCTACCTTCCCAGGCGCGCTAGCAGGGAACTGGATGGGAAGAGGGACAGACAGGACTTGAAGCTGCTCATATGGGACGCTGCGCCACAGGCAGAGGCTTAACTTACTGCACATAGCGCCAGCCCCCACCCCTACATTATTAAGGCGCTCTCCCGAGGAACCCTCTGAAGCGTTGAGGACCGCACACATTGCTGCGTCCCAGCTGAGCAGTCAGGAGCTCTGCCAGCAGATGGCGCCGTTGGCTGCCAGGGCACAGTGAGAGGCTGGGGGCACCGGGCTAGTGGACCCCAGGATGCAGGGTGAGCCCAGGGTGGAGACAAAGTCTAGGGAGGTATGAAAGGGGATGCCTCATGCATGAGGTGGTGGTGGAGGGAAACAGATCTTGTCACAGCAGGGCCCTTCTTCCCAAAATCTTCGTGTCTGGAGAGAGGCGGTGGGAAACTTGACTTCTGTGCTCTTGGCAGGGATACCAGGGTTTAGGTTAGGCCTGAAAAATCATCTGCCTACTGGCGCCGCGGCTCACTAGGCGAATCCTCCGCCTTGCGGCGCCGGCACACCAGGTTCTAGTCCCGGTCGGGGCGCCGGATTCTGTCCCGGTTGCCCCTCTTCCAGGCCAGCTCTCTGCTGTGGCCGGGGAGTGCAGTGGAGGATGGCCCAAGTGCTTGGGCCCTGCACCCCATGGGAGACCAGGAGAAGCACCTGGCTCCTGCCATCGGATCAGCGCGGTGCGCTGGCCGCAGCAGCCATTGGAGGGTGAACCAACGGCAAAAGGAAGACCTTTCTCTCTGTCTCTCTCACTGTCCACTCTGCCTGTCAAAAAAAAAAAAAATCATCTGCCTCCCTCATGCATATATGATTTTTCTCCTGAGCGTTGTGAAATTAAGTTTCAAACATTAATCTTATTCACCCCTAAATATAAAAAAACAAAACAAGAGTGGTTTCTTCTATAACTGCGGTACAACTAACAAATCACTATGCATGTACTACAGGGGAGGTGGAACTTCACCTGTTACCTCTTCGGCTGTCTAGCTGGGTCTGAGAAGTAAATTGGCATAAAATAGATTAAGAGGAGAAAAGCATATGAATTTAACGTAAGGTTTACTTGACACAGGAGCCCTCAAAGAAAGGCAGACCCTGGGGCTGGCACGCTGCAGCGGGTTAAGCTGCCACCTGCAGCGCCGGCATCCCATGTGGGCACCCAGCTGGGCTGCTCCACTTCTGATCCAGCTCCCTGCTAAAGCATCTGGGAAAGAACAGGGCTGGGGTGGGGCTCGAGCCAGGAGCCCAGGAGCCAGGGACTCGATTCAGGGGACCCACGTGGGTAGCAGGAACCCAACCAATTGAGTCACTCTCAAGTCTGCCTGAGGACAGCGTTGCGAACCTGTGTCTCACACACAAGTGTGGACAGGCACATCCGCACAGCTCCAAGCACCCGCCGTAACTGAGTTGCGCAAAAAGGGAAGGCTTCTGTTCCCAAAGACAGGAAGCGTTCTCTTCAAGTTCACAAACTACACTGTGGACTGAGTGCTTTGTCCAAATAAACTCGCTTCCCTGAGCGTGGGGGAATTTAAGGAATATTGACTGATTTTCCTGCAAGGACTTTCCCATCTAGTTTAGTAACACCGCACGAAGGCAGGAAAACGGCTTAACTGATACTCACGGACACAGACCACAAAGCCAGCTCCCTGCCGCTGCTGTAAAATCCAGCTGAGTGCCTCCTAGGCAGGCGCCGGCTTTCCTCCATCCCCACCTGCGCGTTCTCCCCTGGGCTGCAGTCAACAGGAGGCCCGAAGCCCTCCCACCAGTGGTGGGGAGACCCTTAACCCATTCCCTGTGCCTAATACGTCCACCTGTGGACGCTCTGGATGAAACATGGCGACGGCAGGCAGACCTCCGGGTGTCCAAGAACCCGTGCAAGTGGATCAGATATTCAGCCTGTGTCCAGTCAGCTTTCTCACCCTAAGGTGGCCAAAACCTGAGGACTAAAATGTGGTTAAAAACCTTCTGTGGGGCAGGCATGTGTTGCAATGGTGGGGACACTACCCTATCAGACAGGAGTGCTTGGGTTTGAGTCCTGGCCTCACTTGCAACTCAGCTTCCTGCTATGGAGGCCTCAGGAGGCAGCAGGTTGCAACCTCTGTCCTGAGTCCCTGCTGCCCACGTAGGAGACCTGGAGGAAGCTCCTGGCTCCTGGCTTCGGCCTGGTCCAGCCCTGGATGTTGGGACCCTTTGGAGAGTGAACTAGTGGATGAAGGATCTTCTCTCTCTGTAACTCTGCCTTTCAAATAAAATAAATACTAACAAAAAAAAAAAAAAAAAGACTGCCTCAGTGTTTCCTGTCCCACATCTTTCCCAGAGCCCCACACTCTGCCATGAAAAGGCGCAGCCTGTCCGTCCCCTGGCGTCAGCGAGTGGCCCTGCCGCCCTCTGGCTCTCCGCCGAGCTGCCTGCCTTTGGAGCCCAGCTGCTCAGCTGCGTGGAGCCCAGGGGCCCCTGTGGAGACACAACACGAAGAGCAACCAAGGCCCCTGGGCAGCAACCAGTGTCTGCGGCCAGACAGGTGAGCGGAGGCGCCTTCGGGTGATTGACGCCTCCAGCATCCCAGAGCAGAGGCGAGCTGTCGCTGCAGCCCTGTGAGACGTTGTGCGTTGTCCGTGCTTTGCCGCGTCCGGGGGTCACGTGCCGCTGATCAGCAGTGCCAGTGCAGTGGTGCTGGGCCCCGGGTCCACCGCGAGTGGCAAGGGGCTACCCCAGACTGTCTCACAGCCCCTGAACAAACAGCAGAGGTGTTCTACCTCTTATTTCCTTTCCTTTTATTTAAAGATTTATTGTATTTATTTCAAAGGTAGAGTTATAGAGAGAAGGAGAAACTGCTTCCATCTGCTGACTCACTCCCCAGATGGCTGCAGCAGCCAGGCGTGGGCCAAGCTGAAGCCAGGAACAACTTCTGGGTCTCCCACGTGAGTGGCGGGAGTCCAAGGACCTGGGCCATCTGCTGCTGCTTTCCCAGGGAAAAGCAGGGAACTGGTTCTGAAGTGGAGCAGCCAGGACTTGAACTGACACCCATATGGGATGCTGGTGCTGCAGGTGGCGGCTTTACCCGCTGCACCGCAGTGCCAGCTCCTTCTTATTCCCTTTCTATTCTCTTTCTTTACTTGGCTCACGTTTCCTTATTCTGTTGATTCCTGTTGCCTTCTCTGGGTCCCCTCAGCCCTTGTAGGTCCCCCGTCTTGACCACGACCCCTCTTCCTGTGCCTCCTCCACCCTGGCTCTGACCATCTCAGCTGTCCCCTGTGTGGCTATGGGACTCTGCCCTCATGGGAGCAGAGCTCTGGGATGTCAGGTCTGCCACTGATTTGGCTGTCGCTGGGTGGAGCGCAGTAGATGTGCTGAGGTCGGCACTGGTGAGGCTGCCACCCTCACCCAGGCTCCCTCTCTCCCACTGATGTCGCCCCTGCAGCCCAAGCCACGGCTCAGTGCTGTTCTACCCAGATGCCAGGGGCCACAGCCCTGCTGCCTGAACACTGAGCCGCCCCGAGCTCTCCCTCCTGGGCTGTTTCTCCTTCTCCCCGTGATATGTGGGCCTTGGTATTTGTGAAGCATGACCCAGACCTTGTAGCCACGAGCCCGACCTCCCCCTCCCCAGTGACCCCACTGCCTGATGTAGCTGTCATGGGGCCTCAGGGCCCCCCAGCCTCTGGCTGAGTGCAGAGGACGGAGAGGAGGCCCTGCCCGTCAGCACGCTCCATGGGGTGTCCCCCTCTGGGTGGCTGGGTCCCCTCTTCTCCCCAGCCCCACACAGCAGAGCTCCAGGCAGCTGCACACTTGTCTCATGTTGACAAACGAGAGCCAGGTCAGGGTTAGTGGTCCAGGGTCAAGGGCCTGCATCTGGGGTGGCCTTCCTCTGGCAGTGGCCCAGGGCAACGGGGGTGAGACAGGGGCAGCCTATGTGTCTTTGTGTCTGCGTGCTGCACTCTCTGACCCTGACGATTGGGTCATGGAGGCTGTGCCCTGACTTGCACCTTCCAAAGCCCCACCTCTGAACACCCCCTCAGTACCTCACAGCAGGGAGGAGGCTATGGCAGGAGTTTTTTGGGGAAGCCGTGTTCAAACCATAGCGAAGCCCAAACCCCAGACTGCTCCCAGCCCCCCACCCCCGGCTGCATCCCCAGCCCGGTCCTGGGGGCTCCTCTGGACACCTGGAAGCAAATTCCCAGGGAAAGGGATGTAGCGCCTCTTCTGTCACTCTCACTTCTCTGAAAACATCTGCACTCGCAGCGAGAGAGCGGTTAGCGACAACACAGATGTGTGGACGTCGTGGTCCTATGACCAACGCCTCTCCTGAAGACATGCCTGTCCTCACGCTTGGGCCCCACGCCTGCCGCACCTGCTCTCTGGGCTGCTTCTCTGCAGGTAGACCTGTAGACACCACCTGTCTCCTGTAGGTGGCGCCGTGACTCGCTGCCGCACGTCCTGGAGCCTATCTGTAAACCTGTGTCTGCTCCCGGTCTCATTCTGTTTTCAAACATCTGATGTGAACGTTTGAAGTGGAAATACGATAGGAGTTTTACCTGTAATGTAAGTGTTCCAGCAACCACATTTTACTTTATAAACAGAGCTATCCTGGGCCCTCACTGCCTCCCAGGGTGTGCCCCAGCGGAAAGTTGGAGGCAGGAGCCAGAAGTGGGCATTGAGCCGAAGCTCTTCGATACGGACTCAAGTGTCTCAGCTGCATCCCAGCCACTAGGCCAGCCGCCTGCCCCTGGAAGCCATATTTTAGAATGCAAACCAGCAGGACAGCAAGTCCAAGAAGAGCTGCTCCGATCACTCATCGGAAGGGGAATGCACGTCCAAAGCACAGTGACTCTGTTAGGGAATATTGAAAAGGCAAAAATCAGGCGAGCGTGTGGTGCAGTGGGTAAGGTGCCACTGGGGTTGCCAGTGCACCATATCGGACTTCCTGGCGTGAGTCCCGGCTCCTCCACTTCAAATCCAGCTCCCTGCCAGTATGCATCCTGGGAGGAGGTAGATGATGACTCACGCACTTGGGTCCCTGCCACACAAATGGGGGACCTGGATTGAGTTCTGGGCTCCTGGCTGTGGGGGGCATTTGGGAGTGAAGCAGCAAATGGAAGATGTCTATCTCGCTCTCTGTCTCTCTCTCTGTCTCTCTGCTTTTAAAATAAAAATGAGGGACTGGTGCAGTGGTGTAGCAGGTAAAGCCACTGCCTGCAGTACCAGCATCCCATACAGTCCTGGCTGCTCCACTTCCGATCCAGCTCCCTGCTAATGGGTCTGAGAAAGCAGTAGAAGATGGCCCAAGCGCTTGGGCCCCTGCACCCACGTGGGAGACCCAGAAGAGGCTCCTGGCTCCTGGCTTTGGCCTGGTCCAGCCCAGCCATTCCAGCCATCTGGGGACTGAATCAGTGGATGGAAGATCTCTCTCTCTCTCTCACTCTCACTCTCACTCTCTAACTCCACCTTTCAAATAAATATTTTTTTTTAAATGAAAATGAATTTTAAAAATTTAAAACTCAGTGAAAATATTAAATTAAAAACCCCAGAAAATATGTGTTGGCGAGCATGTAGAGAGATTGGAATCCTCGTGCAGTGCCGTTGGGAATGTGAAAAGGAGCAGCCGCTGTGGCAAAGGCCGTGGCCATGGCCGTCCTTAAAACAGTAAACCTAGAGACACCACGTGACCCAGCAGGTCCACTTCTGGGGATGCAACCCAGAGAATGGGAAGCGGGGACTTAGAGAGATTTGCCCACCCACGTTCGTAACAGCATCGCTCACAATAGCCCAGAAAGACGGAGGTGACCCATGAGGCCGTCACGGGTGAGACAGACCCACCACATGTGACACACACGTGCAGTGGGCCGGGACTCAGCCCTCAGAAGGGAGGAGATTCTGACACGGCACGGCACTGCAGCATGGATGGACTTTGACCTCATGCTAGTGACGCAGGCGGGACAGAATGACAAACACATGACTGCACTTCTGTGAGGCGCCTAGCGTGGTCAGTTGCATAGAGACAGGAAGCCGAGTGGGCACGGGGAGGTCCTGTTTGATGGGAGCGGAGCTCCAGGTTTGCAAGAGGGAGAGTCCCGGAGGCGGGCGGTGGTGACAGCTGTGCGACAGTGTGGATGTGATGAACGCCACGGTGAAAAACAGGTGACGTTAATGTCAGGTTTTATCCCAGTGCCCTGAGAACTTCACCATTTACCACGCACCTCCCGAGATGCCTTACAGCCCTTCCTCACCCTGGCCCTGGAGACGCGGCGGATTTTACACACAGCACCCCTCAGTTCACGCTCCCCCGTCTCACGCGCTGTTGGTGGCTGCCACACGGGACAGCGTCCACCTCAAACCTCATGTGAGGTGTCTCCATCGTGTCTGCAGAGACCCACGTCTCCCAGCAGCATAGCACACACCTGCACCCCTCCCTCACACCGCACACATACGCTCCTGTTGTCTGCCGACGCCCCAGGGCCCCGGACACCGTCAGCAAGGCACGCCAATTCCACTCCCGGTGGGACCTGCACGTCTGCCCTCTTCCCTGCATGAATTTGCACCTCATTCGTGTGTCCGTCTGAGCCTCAGATTGTCATCTCAAAGTCCGGCAGGCGTGGGTCTGGACAGGAGGCCCCCCAGTGTCCTTCCTCCTTCCCCTGGGCTGCATCCTCCTCCTCCTCCTCGCTGCTCTCCTTCTCTTCCTCGCTGCTCTCCTCCTCCTCTTCCAAGATGGCCGTCAGTTCCTCCCGTAGCGCCTCCATCTCCAGCCCCAGGCTGCACAGCTGGCCCAGCAGTTGGACATCCACCCGACGCATGTTCTCCTGCCAGTAGGGAGGGGCGTTACAGGCTTGCCACCAGGGGGCGGGGGGCCCCCTGGATCTGGGTGAGAGCCCATAGCACCTGGACAGGCCCCTCACTGCGTCCCTGTGCCCTGCTGCCGTCCTGCGCACGGTGTCTCCTGATAGCTACCTCGGTCTCCATTCCTCCACCCCTGCCCTGTCTCTGTCTTTATGCCTCTCTCATTATCTCTGTCCCCATTCCTGCTGCCCGGCCCTTGGCTGTCTCCATTTCTTTCTCATGCACATTCATTCGGGGTCTGTCTCTGCTCTTACTCCTTTATTCTTTTAAGATTTATTTATTTATTTATTTGAAAGAGTTATGGAGAGAGAGAGAGGTCTTCCATTCACTGGTTCCCTCCCCAAGTGGCCACAATGGCCAGGGCTGAGCCAGGCCGAAGCCAGGAGCCAGCCAGGTGTTCCATCCAGGTCTCCCACATGGGTGCAGGGGCCCAAGCAGTTGGGCCATCTTCCACTGCTTTCCCAGGCCAGTAGTAGGGAGCTGGATTGGAAATGGTACCACTGGGACAGGAACCAGCACCCATATGGGATGCCAGCCTGGCAGGTGGTGGCCTTACCCACTGCAGCACAGCGCCAGCCCCTGTCCTCGTTCTTAGTGTCTGGGGTCACCTCTCTCCCTCCTGTCTCACTCTGCATGTTTCTCTATGCCTGCTCTGTCCCTTCTCATGCACTCATTCTCTCCCCCTCCAACCCATCACTCACCAGCTCCTCCCAGATCGACAACAGACTCTCCCTGGCACCTCCAGGATCTGCTGCAGGGGACATAAGGGTCTGGCCCGGGCTGTCCACCCGGGGCACCCCTCTCAGGGCCCAGGAGGGTGGGCCCAGCTCTTGGGGGAGCAGCCCAGACTGCCCCAGCTGCCTCCACAGCTCCATAGTCTGAGCCCTGGCCGCCAGAAGCAGGAAGTAGCAAGGTCCAGGGTGGCCCAGTCCCTGGGGAGCTGTGGGGTGGGGGGTAAAGGGCGGCGTGGAGGGCACGGAGGCCTGGCGGAGGCCTCCCAAAGTCCACTCGGTGAGAGTCAGCCGGCTGGGAGGGAGCTTTCCTTCTGGAGTTTAACCTCAGCTCTGCTCACTGGGCCCAGCCTAGCGCCTCGTAGCGGCCATTGTCTGCGGATGCCTACCCTGTCTGTCCTGCTATCTCCTGGGCCCCTCCCCCTCTGCTGCTGGCCCTCACCTGATCTCCCACAGCGCCATCCCTGCCCTCTTCAGCCCAGGCCATCCCAGGGTTTCACAGCAGTGGCCCCGAAGGGCCAGGGATGGATTCTGGGGGTGACGAGAAGGGAAGCAGGCTGCTGGACCCCACGAGTGGCTCTGCCCACCCTGGACTAGCTGGCCCTGTGGTCACGGTCAGGGTGGCCTGCTGCGTGCTATGGGAGGAGCACTGCAGGCCTCCCTGCCTGGAGCCCCCCTCAGGCCCACGCTGCTAAATTCCAGGCACATGGCCATGGCTCCCAAGTCCCTGCCCGGTCCTGACTCCTCTCTGCTGCAGACCCACCCCCCAGCAGCTGCACAGCTCAGGAGGGTCAGAGCCGAGCTCAGCTGGGACCCACACCCATGACCGTGGGGGCTCATCCTCCTGCACACCCAGAGGTCAGAGGTCCCGTGTGGGCTCCCAGGGCACGGTTCTGTTATCAGCTTCTAGAAGCTGCCTGCCTTAGCGTTGCTCCAACCTTCGGCCCCACCCTCACGTCTCCTACAGACTCTGGCCCTCCCGCCTTCCTCTGATAGCACTTGTGGTTACGGTGGGGCTGCCCCGTTATCCATGATCTCCATCTCAAAAGTCTTGGGGACATCACGCAGTGTCCCCTTTGCCATATCGTAACCCCCTATTATCCTCGGGAGATATATCCCAGCAACCCCAGGGGATGCCAGAATTCACAGGATCCCCACGTGCCAAACCCCACAGGTGCTGCCTTTTTTTTCTTTCTTTTTTTTTTTTTAAATGTATATCTAAGACAAAGTTAGACCTACAAACTCGGCACAGGGGTGGGCATTTGGTGAAGTGGTGAAATCCACTCAGGATTCCCGCACCTCATGTCAGAGGCCCTGGGTTCCCGCTCTCGTGTGGGAGGCCTGGATTGAGTTCTGGATGGCTTCAGCTTGGCTGTTGTGAGCATTGGATGGAAGATCTCATTCTCTGACATTCTCTCTCCCTTTCAAATAAATAAATAATTTCATAATTTTTTAAAAAGATTTATTTATTTGAAAGAGTTACAGAGAGAGAGAGAGGAGAGGCAGAGAGATAGAGAGTTCTTCCATCCGATGGTTCACTCCCCAATTGGCCGCAACGGCCGGAGCTGCGCCGATCCAAAGTCAGGAGCCAGGAGCCCCCTCCGCGTCTCCCATGTGGGTGCAGGGGCCCAAGCACTTGGTCATCTACTGCTTTCCCAGGCCATAGCAGAGAGCTGGATCGGAAGTGGAGCAGCCAGGTCTCGAACTGGCACCCATATGGGATGCCAGCGCTTCAGGCCAGGGCGTTAACCCACTGTGCCACAGCAGCGGCCCCAAATAATTTAATAAATTTATTTAAATGAAAATTTGAAAAAATTAGGCACAGTGAGAAACAATAACTAGCAAAGCAGAACAATTTCAGCAGTGTCCGCGAGGAAAGGCATGTGGACGTGGTCTTTCTCATCTGACACGTGCTTGGCCTTGTGTCCAGCGTCTCCCAACTGCCAGCAACACTGCCGTTTTCCTCTGGGGCCAGGACGAAGTGAAATAAGGGTGCCCTGGATACCACACCGGTGCATCTGACCGCTGGGATGCCTCCCAAGGGGCCACCGCGCGGACCGCATGGTACACTGGGCACAGGGTGGGTTTCACGCTGCTCAGAGTGATGTAAACTGCATACTTACGGGATTTTCCATGTCACGCTTCTGCCCAGACAGTGAGACGTGTCTGGGGGAGGGGGAGAACGAGCTGTAAAAGTCACAGTCAGGTTCTGGGGTCACGGCGATGCTTGTGTGTGTGAGGGGTGACAGTCACAGGTTCTGGGGTCGCGGGGATGCTTGTGTGTGTGAGGGGTGACAGTCACAGGTTCTGGGGTCACAGGGATGCTTGTGTGTAGGGGGGTGACAGGCACAGGTTCTGGGGTCACAGGGATGCTTGTGTGTGTGAGGGGTGACAGTCACAGGTTCTGGGGTCACAGGGATGCTTGTGTGTAGGGGGGTGACAGGCACAGGTTCTGGGGTCACAGGGATGCTTGTCTGTGTGAGGGGTGACAGTCACAGGTTCTGGGGTCACGGCGATGCTTGTGTGTGTGAGGGGTGACAGTCACAGGTTCTGGGGTCGCGGGGATGCTTGTGTGTGTGAGGGGTGACAGTCACAGGTTCTGGGGTCACAGGGATGCTTGTGTGTAGGGGGGTGACAGGCACAGGTTCTGGGGTCACAGGGATGCTTGTGTGTAGGGGGGTGACAGTTCAGGTTCTGGGGTCACGGGGATGCTTGTGTGTAGGGGGGTGACAGTTCAGGTTCTGGGGTCACGGCGATGCTTGTGTGTGTGAGGGGTGACAGTCACAGGTTCTGGGGTCGCGGGGATGCTTGTGTGTAGGGGGGTGACAGTTCAGGTTCTGGGGTCACGGGG